TGGCAATTATTGTCATTATCACGAAAGCTAGCGTCAGCTCGCTAGAGTCTTCTCGCTTTAGCACGTATTCCGGGGCTCCCCAAGGACATCACGTGATTTTTCCCGCGAAAGGGCCCCCCTGCCCCCTCCCCCATATATATCATTGTTATATATCATATATCAATATATCATTGTTGCATCCTCGTTGGGACGAACAATGCCGCGACACGATGATGACAGTCCTTCCGCAACTCACCTCTTCCCTTCCTTCTTTCTCCTACCCCGCTAGCTTTCGTCATCCACCCCCGGCCTCAAGTTGTCCAAGAGTCAATGTGGCAGAAGTGGGCAGCAACTGATGACCATCAGAAATCCAACTCTGATTGCTTGTGAGGATCATAACAAGAGAGCTTTTTAACCCTGATGGCCCTTGTGGTTGAGTGCTTGAAGTGGCTTGAAGTGTGTTGAGTGTGCCTGGTGATTATACAACATTGTCATGCACCACGCCGATTGCCCCGGCTGCGTGTGGAAAAGACACCAACATCACCATCTTTCGGATGAAGGCATTCTGTTGTGACATGGAGCATGTTGGGTCGCTGTTGGGTGAAAGCTTGAGGCTCCGTTGATCGTTAAGTTTTTGCCAGAGAGTATATATGTGTGCAGATGAAGTGGGCAGCAACTGATGACCATCAGAAATCCAACTCTGATTGCTTGTGAGGATCACAACAAGAGAGTTTTTTAACCCTGATGGCCCATGTGGTTGAGTGCTTGAAGTGGCTTGAAGTGTGTTGAGTGTGCCTGGTGATTATACAACATTGTCATGCACCACGCCGATTGCCCCGGCTGCGCGTGGAAAAGACACCAACATCACCATCTTTCGGATGAAGGCATTCTGTTGTGACATGGAGCATGTTGGGTCGCTGTTGGGTGAAAGCTTGAGGCTCCGTTGATCGTTAAGTTTTTGCCAAAGAGTATATATGTGTGCAGATGAAGTGGGCAGCAACTGATGACCATCAGAAATCCAACTCTGATTGCTTGTGAGGATCACAACAAGAGAGCTTTTTAACCATGATGGCCCATGTGGTTGAGTGCTTGAAGTGGCTTGAAGTGTGTTGAGTGTGCCTGGTGATTATACAACATTGTCATGCACCACACCGATTGCCCCGGCTGCATGTGGAAAAGACATGAAAAGGCACCAACATCACCATCTTTCGGATGAAGGCATTCTGTTGTGACATGGAGCATGTTGGGTCGCTGTTGGGTGAAAGCTTGAGGCTCCGTTGATCGTTAAGTTTTTGCCAGAGAGTATATATGTGTGCAGATGAAGTGGGCAGCAACTGATGACCATCAGAAATCCAACTCTGATTGCTTGTGAGGATCATAACAAGAGAGCTTTTTAACCCTGATGGCCCTTGTGGTTGAGTGCTTGAAGTGGCTTGAAGTGTGTTGAGTGTGCCTGGTGATTATACAACATTGTCATGCACCACGCCGATTGCCCCGGCTGCATGTGGAAAAGACATGAAAAGACACCAACATCACCAACTTTCGGATGAGGGGATTCTCTTGTGGCAGGGAGCATGTTGGGTTTTATCTGGAGTCTCCTTTGATCTTCATTTCTTTTTCTAGGTCTATGGTTGCAATCAAAGGGGGCAGGGACGTGGCAGGGACTGATGATTATATATATATGTATATATATATAATTATATAATGTGAAATTCAATATGGTTTTCTGACAATGATCAGAATGTTTTGTTCAATGAACACTGAATGGGTATCATTGTATCATGTTCATGCTAAGCGCCAGACCTTGATAATCTTTGGAACTTGTATGATGAATTAACTCATTACTATTCAACACTGATGGACAGTGTTGATAGCCTCTGTGGAGTCTGGCACTCCAAGGGGACCACACTGGCGTCAACACAATCACAGCTGCTGACAGACTCCGATGTGTATGTAATCAACATGCACGTCCAAAAAGTCGGGTTTGTGTTGACTTCCTGCTTGCATACATGCCAACTGATCTGGAGTTGGTGTTTCCATGTGCACGGGCCCTGTTTGAAAATGTTGTGGACCCTGCACAGCCCTAGATGAATGCTTTCATAATTTCATAGTATCTACGTTTATTGCTTGTGATGAACCGGACTTTGTGTGATGCAATCAACTTCAAAAAAAACTGTTCAACTCCGATTGACAGTGATGAATCGAGTAGCCGACAAAGTCCCAGGTGTTTAGCTGCCCTAGTCATGTTCGACATCCACAGACGCACCTCGTTGAACCAGGGCAGCCTAGTGTGCCGGGTTTGTGTTTCGCAGAAAGCCAGGTGAAGTGACAGTAGACGACCAGACGCAGCTGGCTGCGCTACAGAAGTGCCTTTGATGACATTAACTTTCTGACAAAGTGCCGGTGCAAGTATCGTGGCAACAGGCAACAAACATGCAGGGAATTGATAGCTATCCTTTTTGCGGCATTCGCCAAAGTCCATCAGATACTCAGAAAAATCTCTCACTCTGTGCAAAACAAATCTGTCAAGTCGGTCAGGTATTGATATCCCATTGATATCACTTGCAGCTCCCCGTGGGATCCATGGCTGGATCCATAGCCTATCCCCAAAAAATCCTGAGGATCGGCTTGCTGGAGCCTGGTCGCTGTAGCTCGGAAGGCTTCAGCCATCCCATGGGGAAGCAGAACCTTGGTGAAAGATTGGGGACAGCAGGGGGATCTGTTTGGACATGGAACTTGGTGTCATTCTAATCGGGCCATCTCAGAATTGGAATGAATTGGAAACACCGTTGAATTGATGACACTTGATGTAAGCACACCTTACGGTTTGCACGTTTGAGATTGTTTGGGGAAACATCTGAAGCAAAGGTTCACTAACTAATATCTTGATAAGGCTCTTGGTGCCTTCATTTTGTGTTTAGTTTGTGTTCATTTTGCTTCAAGGGTCCTGCAGCTGAGTTTGGAAGCGGCTGAGGTACATTCCTGGCCTGGAAAACACAGAACTTGCGCTTTTCCAAAAGGCCTGCCCTGGCTGAAATCTATCCGCATCCACCTCGACAAGTCCCTGCTTTTGCAGCGCGCATTTCAGTAGAAGACTCTACTGGGTTTGGCCTTGTTGGAATTCTGACATATTCTAACTATGTATCGCACGGAGGTTCATGATTTTGCTACATTGCAATTTTTCCACTGCAACTCACCTTGAGCAAATTCCATGCTCCTCCAAGATTAACAGTTTTGGTCAGGCTGGCGAGTTGGACATTGTCGATGCAGTGCACATGCTCTTTGCGGCCATCACACAGGTCCGCTGTGTGAAAATCCGGCTTGTCATGATATATCTTTAATTTATACTGTATATAGTGTAATATATATATAGTGTAATATATATATATAGTGTAATATATATATATACAGTGTAATATATATATATATACATATAATATAGAGTATGTACAGTATCATATGTGTTTACGTATGAGTACTATGTATAATAGTATCTCTATGCATATGGATATACATATATATATATATATTTATGTATACATATACACATACACACATCTACGGACAACTCGAAACGTGCAGACACATCTACATTTAACATTTCATATACATTTTCATCTGCAAATACAGATGGATACATACATGCATATCTATATACGCATGCATGCACACCAGTACGCAAAATACATGTATACATATCAAGACTCACCAAACAATGTCAAACATTATATTCACAGCCGCACATCTCTGAAGCCCACTACAGCGCATATTGCGGGCGTGCCAGCTAAGCCCCAGCAAGGCCTATGAAATCTCAAGACATTGGATTTCCAGGCATCATTAGCCCTGAGTCCAGGACACGATTGTTCTGTACAAAGTCGTGGGCGATGTTTGTAGTGAAGCTTCTGTTGACAGGACTGCTTGAGAAGATGGTGCAAGGAAACACTCGCCAAGGTTGCTCTTCAAAGGTATATAAAACTTGTTGTCGAATGTACCTCTAGAGCCAATGTCCTGTTGTGGCATCACTTTGCATCGAACAACATACTTGTACAGGGCATGCATGCAAGAAATGAGTAAACCATGCCAGTTGGTCTTGAGGGATTCAGCTCGAAGGAAGTTTGTGCAACCTTTGATGGCTCTGGCTTTCACGGAGGGCTCTTGTCAGGACTCCGATATACCTGATATTCCTCATGATCTGTCAGCTTGGTTCAGTTGTGCTGTAATTTGAAGGGAAATCTGCCATGCAGAAATTTTAGAAGCCCAAGTTGTTTTGGCAGTCACAGCTGTTTAGTTTTGTGTTGAACGGGAGAGTTGTGGCACGGGCACAGCGTGGATACGACAAGAGTTCTGGCAGGACCATGGCTATGACCAGCCATCTGGCAGTCAGTCCTTCACAGTGTTGCTGACCGATCTGCAGCTTGCACTTTACCGCAAGGCGCAGGATTTTGATTGAGTAAGTTCCAGCCAACTCATTTTTGAGCGCATCCATGTTTAGTAACTTGCAAGCCATATTTGGGAGTTTCCTCAGTCATTTCTCAGTGGTTCCAATTTCAAGGCATATGTTGCGGTCTCGGTCGAAAGCAGATATCCCTGACACCCGGTGAACATCTATACCCATCCAGAATAGGCAGGTCGCCATGTCTTATCGTATGCTTGGCTCCTGACAAATAAACATATTGCTTTCTAGAAAGAGCCAAGTTCTCAATCAGGAAGACTAGGGCTTATGACACCTGCTTGCAAGGCTGGCAGTTTGGGCATACACATTTGAGCGTGTTTGCTTGCACTTGTTTGTCGTGAGACATCATGCAATGTTAGCACGTGCTGCATGAGACAGCGCGTCGAAGCTGAAAGTCCGATTGGTCCAATCAGTCCGATGCGTTTGGTCAATGGCCGCTTGGCGGTTCTGTTGATGGATTTCAGCTCAATTCGTGGCCAGCAGTGAACTCCTGCGACAAGCAGTTTCTGCCCCAAGCCGCAGGCCAAGTTCATCACAAGCGCAATCTACAAGTACTGCTACAAAGGGTAAAGGATGCGGATAATGGGCCTCTTCAACATTCAAGAAACCCAATGCAGTCCACTGCCTGGTTTGGATCCCATGAACCCTTCATCCAGGTTTTTTCTTTGTCCAAGTTGCAACCGGGTTTTGCCTGGCTTTGTTCTTCAGATTGCTTGCCAGTCTATTTTGCAAACGTTTCACCACCTCTTTGTCCAAGCAGTCCTTGGGCGTGAGCACAAAAAACGGCCGACTTGTTCAGACGAGTTTCCACAGCCAGTTGGGACGAGACGTCTGGAGAAAAGATCAGCAGAATGGGTTTTTGCAGGAACGGTTTTCTCTTTACCCGTCTGATCCTGCCGGCTCCAGCGTTGGAAAGCAGCCTGCCTGCCAGATGGCATCAAGTAAATCAGTTTATCCTCAAAAAAATTGCAGGGCCATTTATCCAGAATATTCAGACCATGAATCCCCACCTCAGACCAAAAATTGCAAATAAGTTCGGGACATTTTTGTGTAAACAAGCATAGGTAAGCCTTCCATGCTGTCAACTTCTTCCAGCCAACAAGCACCATCAAGGGCGGCCTTCCTGGATTATCATTAGCAAGAGCGGTGACACCTGAAACTTCCTGAAACCTTCTCCATTTCTCAAGCTCAATCGCACAACCCATTCAAGCTGAGAAGCATGTCATTGCAGATTGGATTCCGTAACAAGAGGCTTCTTCGAGAGTGGACAACGGACAGAAAGTGTCATCTTATGCAGTTGAAGTCTGGAATTGGACCGCCCTTGCGTACTGCCTATGGCTGCAGAAAGTGACGCCAAGGTCGCTTCTGTTCAATCAGCTTTTGTAAGAACAGATGCAAAGCATCATTGTGACTCATTGACGTTTTGGCAGCTGTCCACGATCAATTTGCATCTGAGGCACAGTCGAGCGAAACAAGCTCCTTGCGCAGCAGGCAAGGGAGCTATGAACAGGTATGAAAATCTTTCAGACGCTTAGACCTGGGTAGAGGCAATCACTGACGTTCCTGCCTGTTGCTTCTGAAGCGCTTATGGTGAAAAGGTGGTTGGACGGCACAACCGTTCGGGCCTGAGACGTGATGTGGTCCGAAAAGCCTTGAAAAGCCAGGTTTTGACTAAAAGGACTTGTTGAATCTTGTTGATAGTTGCTGCCTATTTTTGACTGGTATAGACGGTATAGATCAGGATGTACATCCACCTTCCCTTCCACTTGGATTGCGGAGCTCAGAGAATTCGCTTCAAGTCCATGCTGAGGTCAAGAGCGCCAAAGAAACTTCGGAGGCGTTTGGGAAATCTGGGACACATTGGGACACCATTTCCATTTTTACAATGGCTTTATATGGCTTTATAGTGCCTCGACATTGCAATCTCAGGCAACTTCCACAGGACATGCTGGCAGCTATGAGTAGTTGGAATTGAAGGTTTCCCATCGTTTCCCAGTAAGATGCAGATGATGCAGTTGCTATATGTTGCTATGATGATAGGGTGAAATTTCATCGGCCCCTAGCACCTTGCAGATGGTCTTGCTGTGGGAAGATAAAGAATCGAGCTGAAGGGACATGTTCTCATTGTGTGGTGTAAAGACATGCTGACTGCTGGACAGGAAAGGATTCATGGTATATAATACCAACAACCATTAACAGTCACTAACTAACCGTAACTAAGCGTAACTAGCAGAATTGAGCAGATCTAGTTGGTACAGAATCCAATATTCAGAATCTTTCAACGGAACTACAGTGATTTCACCAGGCTGTGCCAGTGAAAGCCAAGCCGAAGGTCCCATCCGAAGGTGGCTGCACCAACTGATTCCAGTTCCTCCATACTTGTTTATTTAGGACATGTCCGTACATCTACATTACATGTATATATCGATAATTATATGATATTATATGATATTACATATATATATAAATACACATACATATGTACACATATACATTGACATACTAATATATATATATATAAATACACACACACACACTGGCTCATCTCTTGGTCAGTGTGGAGCAAGACCAGCAGATGAAGCTGGATTACCAACCGGTATGAATTTAGATTTGCAAGCGCGCAGCAAGAATAGACTCAAAAGGCCCAGGAAAAACAATGTATATATAATATTATATGGGTAGCCATATAATATACATTTGTGAATCTATTTTACATGTTTGAAAGACAATTTTAAAGCGAAACCCCTCGTTGGTGCCAGGTCTGCTGCCATCAGATCCTTGGGAGGGCAAGCAGCTTCACCCCCAAGAAGAGTCCAGCCCGGGCCATGGTGGCCATGGCGGCCATGGCGCTGTAAATAAGTTGGATGCATCGAGATGATCAAGTCATGTATTTCGTTTGAATGTATTTGATGCACTGCAACAGACACCTGTCAAACTTGGATGTGATGTGTTACAATGCTATCTTCATGTGTGTAGTGCCATACAATGTCAGATAGTGTAATCAAGGTATCTCCTCCAGAGTGCTGGAGAAATCAAACGATGCTCATGTAATTGCTCATGTTTGTTTTTTTTGGTCATATGCAGCAGCATTTTCGGACACAATGAAGCAGAAAATCTCACAGGTCTTGACCATATTTGGCAATTATTGGCTTCCGCCAATTTCAGCTGTCAGGCCGAGATCCATGGGAGAAGTACCACAGTGCTGAGCCGCTGTCAGCAGAGGCCCGAAACTACGTGCCTGCCGAGGGATTGCTTTCTGCAGCAAATAGAAGCATAGTAGAGCAGCAAGGTTCAAAGTCAGATACCATTGAATCATACTTCAGATGTTCGCATTCTTTGGCAAGTCAACAAGTCAGCATAAAACATTCAGAATGTCTTCGTTTCGGGGATGTCAAAACTAGGCCAATGTGGCCCTTTGGCCCATCACGTGGTTTTCGTGCCTTGTGAAGGCAAATATCTTTGCACCTCGTTCTCGAGGCGCACAGTACTGACAGATGGAAACAAGGGCCAGCTTCCCCATAGACCATGTAGTAGTTTCCCGTATTATAAGGCAAACCCAGCTGGTAAAGGTGTCTCTTCTTTGCTTTGTCTTGATGATTCTGGGCCGAAATGATGCTGGTGTCCCTTCTATCCTGGTATGGGTTTTGCTGGCTGACTATCTTTTTATCGCACGCATTCACATTTGCTTGTCTTTTTTCAGATTCCATCGATCTCCATTGTCAAAGTCACCCCGCACAGAGCTAGTCTTGGATGCAGGAAGCGCAGATGAGCGAAAAGATAAAAGGTCAGGGATCAGGGCTAATTGAGCTCTTATGCTGATTGGCTTATGGTCAGCGAGGGGCAGTGTTTGGGCGCTCATCAAAATTATCCTACTCCGTAGGTTGATCATTGACACACGTTCAGCATCGTTCAGCGCATCGCAAAGTGCACATCCCACCTGCCATCAGCGCCGCATGCCCTGCCTGGACAGGGAGCCCAAAGATATTCCAGTGATGTTCGGGAGCCGGAAACTCTTTCCCCGACCTCGCGGCTTTGGAGGCCATGATTTTGATAGATTTGATAGTCATGGTCCATATTATGGATCAAAAACGTGGTTGATTTTCCCAAAGATGGTCATCCCCCTTTGGGGTGAGATGATAAGCCAAAGCCGGAGAGCCGTGCAGGTGGAGATGAAAGAATTTCACACTGTCCAGACCTTGGATTTGGATTTGGATTGGCCACTGCAACTTGGAACCTTAGACTGCTGAAAACAGTATCGATGATGGCAGATGATCTCAGATTATAGAATCATAGAACATACCTGGGCTCAAAGTTCAAACAGGAAATCCTTCGTCTTTGTAGTCAGAGGCTTCAGGGAAACGCGCAATAGCCAGCGGAGGTAACGTTTGAACGTTTTCAGAAACTCCCACCCTTCAAGTTGACAGCATTCCGCATCTTGGCCCGTCAGCCGCCAGGCAAGGAATGCCATAGTTGATGTTTTGACAGGATACTGTAGAGCCCCTTATCAACATGAAAGCGAATGTAGTTTCCCGCGTTTTCATTGCGTTTTCTCCTTTTTCAATTCAGAGCATCATCTAAACGGTGTCATTTCCGAGGCATGGGCAAATTCCTTCGATATCGGTCTGTGCGCCTTCCCAGTGGAAGTGCTTCCGTTTCGTTGCTATTTTGGAAAGCAATCTCAAATAGCTTCTGAAGACTGGCAGACTGACACTGTATTGGTTTTCATCATTTTTCATCCATATCACCCATTGCATCACCATGCACCTGTACCATCCTGTACCGGTCTGCTGAAAGAGCTCGTTCTTCTACTTTAGGAAGAGCTCGGGAGAGATGAGGATGGCTATGTAGAGTTGCCGGGGGCCAAGAGCTGCCAGTTCAGCAGTCCGAGAGCAAGGCATGAAAGCTGTGTTTAAGGCCACCGCCATGCATTGTTTGTTTTGCTTGTTTCGCCGCAACATTGTATATTATATATATATACACATGATTATATACACGGAGATGCTAAGAGCATCTCAAAGGGAGGATGTAGCACATCTAAGAGGCATCATCTCACTCTTTATTCCAACGTGTTCTCTCGGTTTTGTGCTTCAAGCGTCATGTATCGCGGAACCTTTGTATATAAATATACATCCATGTATAATTTATATATAATTTATAATATCATTATGTCAATGATGTCAATGTGTAGTGGATCTAAATGCGTCGTGCGATATAGATATGCTACGTATTTCATCAATACTGTGGATGGAAGAAATCCTGCACCAGTTGGTAGATGGTTTATATATGTTTATATGCCATTCTAATCTCATTATTTACAGTGTTTCATAGTTACCAATAGTTGCCAATAGTTGCCAATAGTTACCAATAGTTACCAATAGTTACCGATAGTTGCCAATAGTTGCCAATAGTTACCAATAGTTACCAATAGTTACCAATAGTTACCAATAGTTACCAATAGTTACCAATAGTTACCAATAGTTACCAATAGTTACCAATAGTTACCAATAGTTACCAATAGTTACCAGTAGTTACCAATAGTTACCAATAGTTACCAATAGTTACCAGTAG